AGTGAGGACAAAGTGCGCGGGAAAGACGTGTGTTGGTTTGTGGGGCCAGTCTACAATCCTATGAGCGAACACTTACGGCTAGGGTGGGGGCCGGGGTGTTACAAATGGTATCAGAGCAACCCTGCGACCGTGACGGGCCAAAATAGCTTAGTTCACCTAGCGGGGAAGATTTATGGGTTCAAAAAAAAAGGATGCAACGAGGACGTTGCATTCCTAAGTGGGGGTGAATGTAATACCCCGTATCAAGATGGGAATGGGAAGAGCTCAAAAAAGGATTGATAGTACTACTCATATCAACAAGGTACATCTTCTTTTCGAGAGCTCATCACCTAGAAACATCAAAGTTAAGCGTGCTTGACCTGGAGAAATTTTAGGATGGGTGACCCCCTGGGAAATTCCTTGGGCGCGCACGAGTGAGGACAAAGTGCGCGGGAAAGACGTGTGTTGGTTTGTGGGGCCAGTCTACAATCCTATGAGCGGACACTTACGGCCAGGGTGGGGGCCGGGGTGTTACACCCTCTCACCCTCTATCCACTTCAACCATGTCAAATGAATCCCAAACGATGTCCCATGAAGAGCTCATTGCCTCCAATGCAGCCTTGAAAGCCCAAGTAGAGTACTTGGCTAAAGAGGTAGCCAAGCTTACGAAGATGAAACTCAACGAGCTACAAGGAAGTGACCGTGAAGAAGACACTAGTTCTAGTGGAACCGTAAAGCCTAAAGCCAATGAGGGTTTTGACTTCAAAGTTGACATTCCAACTTTTGAAGGAAAGAACGACCCGGATGAGTTCCTCGAGTGGCTAGAAACGGTGGAACGCGTCTTTGACTTCAAAGATGTTTCCGATGAAAAGAAGGTCAAGATAGTGGCCTTGAAGTTCTGGAAGTATGCATCGACTTAGTGGACTAATACGTGCACCAAGAGGAGAAGAAACGACAAAGAACCGGTGTCCACATGGGCGAAGATGAAGTCCCTTCTAAAGAAGTTTTTACCCGCTGAATATGTTCGTGAGAATTTTGCTAAGCTTCAAACGCTTAGGCAAGGTTCTAAGTCCGTTGAAGAATACAACCGGGAGTTTGAAGAGCTCTTGTTGAGATGTCACTTGCAAGAAGATGACGAACAAACCTTTGTTCGTTACCTATTCGGCTTAAACCTACAAATAGCCAATACGGTGGAGTTGCAAAGTTACGAATCTCTAGAAGAACTCACGAAGTTAGCCCTCAAAGTTGAAGCTCAACATAAGAAATCCAAAGCTTTTTTCTCCAAGAATAACACCCCCTCCCCACGGACCTACTCCTCCACATGCAAATCACCTTATCCTTCACCAAAATCACCTTATACTACCCCCAAAAACCCCACTACTGCCCACGGCCCAAACCCCTCCTCCACCCCATCTACCTCAAGAAACCCCTCATCCTCTTTCACGCCCCGGGCTGATCCCACCAAGAAAGCACCCGTTTGCTTTCGGTGTCAAGGACGAGGTCATTATGCCAATGAATGTCCTAACAAGAAGGTAATGGCCATTGTCGAATGTGATGAAGAAGACTTTTACCCAACTTGGGTTGAAGAAGAAGTTGAAGAAGTTGAAGAACTAGACGAGTATGTTGGCCTCGATGAAGGAGAACTCTTGGTCATCCGAAGGACTTTGAGTGTTATAACCTGCCCCGAAGAACAAGTGCAACCTGAAAACATCTTTCACACACGTTGTACGGTCCAAAAGAAGGTGTGTTCGCTTATCATTGATAGTGGAAGTTGCACCAATGTGGCGTCCAAAACCATAGTAGACACGCTGCATTTGAAGACCTCTCCACATCCTAAGCCTTACACGATTCAATGGTTGAATCATGGCAAGGGCTTACGTGTTGATATGCAAAGTCTCATCTCTTTGAGTATCGGCAAATCATACAAGGACGACGTATGGTGTGATATCATTCCTATGGATGCATGCCACATACTTTTGGGACGGCTGTGGCTCTTTGATCACCGTGTGCAACATGACGGCTACGCCAACACTTATTCGTTCTTGATGAATAAAAGGAAGATCACCTTGACACCTCTCCCTCCCCCCACTTCACCCACGGCCAAACAGCCACAAGAACCCCCTCCCGTCCTTATCTCCACCATCATATGAGCTGAGCCACATGAATTTCATGAAGTTAAAGACCTCATTCTCCTTGAAGATGGAGAAGCCGAACCCAATGTCCTCCCAAAAAAGCCCCATCCTCTAGCCCAACCCATCCTTGAAGAATATGCTCAAGTGTTCCCCGAAGATGTCCCCCATGGCCTCCCTCCTAAACGAGACATCCAACACAAAATTGACCTCATCCCGGGGGCTGCCCTACCCAACAAACCAGCATACCGAATGAACACTGAAGAAACGAAGGAAATTCAACGTCAAGTTGATGAGTTGTTAACTAAGGGCTTCGTGAGAGAAAGTCTTAGCCCGTGCGCTGTCCCAGCACTTTTAGTGCCAAAGAAGAATGGAACGTGGCGTATGTGTTGCGATAGTCGGTCTCTCAACAAGATCACTATCAAGTATCGGTACCCGATTCCCCGTCTGGATGACATGTTGGACGAGTTGCATGGCTCCAAGATCTTTTCAAAAATTGATCTTAGGAGTGGGTATCATCAAATTCGAATCTTTGAAGGAGACGAGTGGAAGACAGCATTCAAGACGAAGTTTGGGTTATACGAATGGTTGGTTATGCCATTTGGATTAACCAATGCCCCGAGCACGTTCATGCGGCTTATGAATCAAGTCTTGAAGCCGTTTATAGGTCATTTTGTCATTGTCTACTTTGACGACATTCTGATTTATAGTAAAAATGAGGAAGATCATGCTAATCACCTCACTTTGGTGATTAAGAAGTTGGACGAGGAGAAACTCTACGGCAACCTCGAAAAGAGCCAATTCTTTTCGCATGAAACGGAGTTCTTGGGATACTTTATCTCAAGTGAAGGCATACGGGTGGACGAAAAGAAGACACAAGCCATTAGAGAATGGCCGACCCCCACCACTATGCAACAAGTACGGAGTTTTCATGGCCTTGCCTCTTTTTACCGGAGATTTGTGAAGGATTTTAGCACCATCACGGCACCTATCACGGATTTGACGAAAAATCAGAAGTTCGAGTGGAACTCCAAGGGAGGGCCTTTGAAACAATCAGGGATCGATTAACACATGCCCCCGTGTTAGCCCTTCCTAGTTTTGACAAACTATTCGAGGTCGAGTGTGATGCCTCGGGAGTTGGAATCGGGGCTGTCCTATCCCAAGAAGGGCACCCGGTGTCGTACTTTAGCGAGAAGCTAAACGACACGAGGAGGTATTCCACATACGACAAGGAGTTCTACGCATTGGTGCGGTCACTTGAGCATTGGCGTCATTACCTCGTGAGCAAGGAGTTCATCTTACATTCCGATCATGAAGCGTTAAAATACATTCAAGGGCAGCATAAGCTCTGACCTCGTCATGCTAAATGGGTCGAATACATCCAAACCTTCACCATCAAGCACAAAAACGGAACCATGAACAAGGGCACCGATGCCTTGTCCCGGAGACACTTATTACTAACGGTACTTAGTACCAAACTTGTTGGCTTTGAGTTTTTGCAGGAGCTTTACAAAGAGGATGAAGACTTCAAGGACACTTATTCCAAGTGCCTTATTCGGCCACATGGAGAATTCCTAATCAAGGATGGTTTTCTCTTCCGAGGCAACCAACTTTGCATCCCGAAATGCAGTGTTCAAGAAACCCTTATTGATGAAGTTCACGGAGGAGGCCTAGCTGGTCATTATGGGATCGATAAGACTCACATGATGATGAAGGAACACTACCACTGGCCAAGGATGGAATGAGACGTGTAACACGTCATCAAGCGTTGCAACACGTGCCACCTTGCCAAAAGTCAGTCACTGTCCCAAGGAAAGCACTTGCCCCTTGACAGTCGTAGTTTTCGGGTAGTAAACCTTCCCAGATTAACCTCTAGATTAACTTGGGGTTGAACTCTAGCATTTCATCAAGATATTACACACTCAATCAAATAACTAGAACCTAAAACTCACACTCAAGAGAACCACTCTTAAGATATAGAATTAGGAATTTGGCTAAAATAGCATCACACTATTTTAAGAGAATACTCAAAAGAGTAAACAAAGTTTTCATTCAATTCATATGCTGGTTTACAAGGCCTATGGCCGAAATTATATATACATAATAAGGGAGAAAGAATAAAATCAAGGAAGCTTCTTAATCCTTTCCAAAATCAGCATCCAAATGAGTTAAATTTATGACTAAGATGATGGATTCCTTTGGCTGGTTTTGTGATGTTTATTCGGCCACTAATGAGAGATATTTTGAAATGTTTCTTGGCCTGTTTTGAAGGAGGAAATTTGGCCATGTGTGAAGAAAACAACAGGGAACATTAAGTGGCTGTAATGGAAATGTCCCTTGGCTTGTTGTGTGTGATGGATTCGGCCTTTAGTATCTATGGTCAAGGGTGGGGAATTGTGGGGTTTAAGAGGAGATATTCCCTGATTTTTGTGTAAGGAATTTTGGCCCTATATGGTAAGAAATGATAAGGAAAGATCATGGGTGCAAGGATGTGAAACAAGTCAACAAAAGGACAAATTTTCACTATTAAACTTTATGACTTCTATCCTGATTGTGAGAAAGGTGATTTCTATTTGTTAATAGTTGAAAAGGGGCCTGATTTATGGTTAAAATGGAAGGGATTTTAGTCCCTAGTTGTAGGAAAAAAAGAGGAAAGACATTATTTGGGTAAAAGGACTTTAAAAGAAACAAACAAAGGTTTTGGCTTTTATTTTCTCTCATTTTCGACCAAGGGCTTTGAAATGAGTGGGGGAAGACTTTATTTGAATAAAAAGGGAAGTATAAAGTGTTTTTGGATGTTTTGGGATGGTTTGGACTGAAATGGGAGTAGACCACAGAATCCTCAGGTCAAACGGAGGTTGTTTTGGCCTTTCGGGTTTAAGGACCATTTGAATTCAACTAAAATGGATCATAATATTTGAATATAAGTCCTTTGGTTCTTATGATAGTGTAAGGCGTGAGTGAGAGTTTCATGGGGCTAGGCTCGGGTATAACATCCTCCCGGTCTTCAAAAGAGTTTGCCCTCAAACTCAACGGATAATCAAGACCGTCATATGGACTGAGGTCTCTCTTATTGAACGTGGCAGAAACTCCATCACTTCTATTGAGAGCAACCGCGTAGGCACTGTTTTTGACCTTGGCTATCACTTTAAATGGACCATCGTCTCGGGGTTGAAGCTTTGCCTTGCGTTTGTCAAAGAAATGCTCTCTTTGCACATGGACCCACACTAGGTCTCCAGGCTGAAAGTAGATGCAACTTTTAACCTCATTTCTATTCTCAATCTTTTTACGAGTCTTATGATAAAACTCGGAGGTTTCTTGTATTCCTTCATCACATGGAACCTGCAAAAACTTAACAAACTTGGTACAAGGTACTGTTAGTGAAGATAGCCTTTGAGGTGAGGCTCCTGCATCTTGGCTCATGACTCCACTATGAGTCTTCTTCTCATAAAATTTTTGGGGAGTTAAACGAGTGTCTTTCTCTTCTTTAGGACGACACATGGGGCTGATAGTTGGCACATATATGTTTGTCAATTCCTTTTTCCTCATAAGGGATGAGCATGTGTTTTCATATCCATTAAGAGAAACAAAGGGATCAATTACCCACGGCTTTCCTTGATTTGGGTTGTGGATTGAATATGATCTTGGGAAAGACACCGAATTGATGGGAAGCACCACAAACATTGCTTTGGGTATCACCTTGACACAACTTCCTTTGACGGTGATAAGCAGACCATCCTCCTTTTGGTTAGCCAAATGAGTATGAGAATGGGTCAAACTACTCAATGGCCTATCAATGACCAGGAGTTCATCTTCATCTTGGCCTAGACACTTAACATCTTCTTGTCCTTCCTTTTGTCACAAAGATTCTAATTTCTCTTCATTCTTGACCAAGGGATTTTGATTCTTTCTTGGACATTCAAAAGCATAATGACCAATCATTTGAAAATGGAAGCAATGGGATTTCTTCAGAATGGTTGGGCTGGATTTTGGTGGGATTGTGACCATGTCATTTGGTGAAGAGGCTATGGTTTTGGGAGGATTTTGAACCGTGAGGGTGAAGGAGGTTCCAGGGATGCTTTGGGTAGTTTGTGGGGAGGCGAAAGAAGTGGTTTTAGGAGAGTTTTGGGGTAAAAGTGTTGAAATGGTGTTGGGATCATTTTGGGAAGTAGCTAGAGAAGGTAAAGAGGTGGTTTGAGTTGGGGTTTTGAGTAGATGAGAAGAAATTGGGTGAGAGATGTTTTGGACAGCATGAATGCAAGGTAAAGAGGGGAATTTAGAGGGAGTTTGAGTTTTGATGGTGGTGGTGGCTTCAGGAGTGATTTGGAGTGGCTTTTGGAAACTTTGTTGTGAGGGCAGTGGCAATGCTTTGGAAGGATTTTTGGATGTGAAAGTGAGAGTGTTTTTGGCTACCTGGTGGATATGATCTTTGGAAGAAAATCTTTTAGTTAAGAGCTTTCGTAGCTTCTCCCAAGTTTTCACCTTAGCTTTTCCTTGGAGATTTCGTTTTGCAGCAACGCTAGCCCACCAAGTGGAGGCATGTTTTTGAAACTTTGCCACAACTAGCTTGACCTTCTTGTCTTCGGGTATGTCTTTGAGTGTAAAGACGTGTTCAACCTTAGCTAACCATTTTAAGAACTTCTCCGGGTCATTGCTTCCTTCAAACGTGGGGATATCCACAGAATTTTTGAACTCTCCAATCTTCTTCCTCAAAAGATCAAGCTCTTTCTTTAGTTTCTTTTGATCAGCAGCTAGATCTTCATGGGACATATTTTGGATGGTGTGAGACCTGTTTTGGTGGCTTTGAAAGGTTAGGATAAGTAAGGGCAGTAGCTATGGCTTAAATGATCAAAAGGGAAAAGAGGTGTTGTAGGGGCTTGATATACCCCGGGATGCACCTTCACACACGCCACTAATATTACAACAAGTCAAGTGTTTAATGCCTTGGTGTTATGAGCCATTTTGGGTTGAACTCATTGACCCGTCCCACATTAAAGCCCGAACCATGACACTTCTCTCCCAAAACCCAACCTAGGCCGAAATGCCTACAAGCCCAACACACTCCCACATATCCAAAAGTATTTCATTTGCCTTTATTAACCAAAATAAAGTCCTTCACCTCCCTTTGAAGCCATGGCCGAAAATCCAAGAGACAAGGTGTTATACCCCTGGATGGCTCCACCAAAATCCCAACCCCTCCCAACATATCCAAAAGTCTTTTATCTTTTCTTTGTCCCAAAATAAAGCCTTTGCCATCTATTTTATTCTCTGGTTAATAATAAGAAACCAAAACCTTTTGTTGTTGTTATTTTCCTTCTTTTAATAAACAAATAAAAACCTTTTCTCCCTCCCTTTGAATCCCTGGCCAAAAACCCCATGCCACAACCCTGCCAATACCACTCCCTTACACCTCAACTTGGCTAAACAAACAGCCATAAAATCCAAGACACCTTGACCCACACCCACACCCTTCAACCCCCATGTTTTTACCCCATATCCAGCCCAAGAAATACCTCCAAATAACCTGCTGTCCCACCCCTATTTCTCCTGCCCAAAACAGCCCCACCTAAGCCAATCAATTGTGAATTATATTCACATATTCCCTCCCACCACTAATGGCCAAAAATCCTGCCCAACAAGTACAACCTATCCCTGATTTTTCTCCCCACCAAAGGGACAACAACAAGTGGAGGTCATGCTATTGATTTAGGAGAATAAGATAGGAAGTTTCCTTATGTCTACATGCAATGTATTGTGTATTTCTTCCCCCCTTCCCCTACCTATATATAAATCAGGCCCTATGGCCAACTGTAACACACCTTGAATAATAAAAACTCCCTTTACTCTTTGAGTATTTATAAAATAGTGTGATGCTATTTTAGCCAAATCCCTAATTCTATATCTTAAGAGTGGTTATCTTAAGTGAAAGTTTTAGGTTCTAGATATTTAATTAAGTGTGTCATATCTTAATTAAATTCTAGATTCAAACCCCAAGTTAGGATAAGAGTGTGTAATATCTCTTAAACACCAACTTGGTTTATCCATCCCTGATTTTCTTCCGTTTCATACCTCCCCATTTCTCCTCTTAATCTCACTCTTTTCTTCCAACTAAAATACCCAAAAGAACTCCCTCATCAACCCCATATATTTCCAGTCCATTTCCCCACAAAACACCCTTCTTCCTGCCCAGAATTCCGCCAAATAATCGATTATCATTCCCCACAATCGATTATCAATCCCATTGGAAACACCTGCAGGAATCAATAATCGATTATCCCTTTAAGATAATCGACTATCAGCTTCCCTAGAAATTCTGCAGCCTTCAACAATCGATTGTCACTTTGTGTAAATTGATTATTGTTAAATATAATACTTATTATATTTAATTATATACACATGTATAATATATATTTACACACTATAGAATACTCTAGAATACTCTAGGCTTAATCCCACTCTTGTATAAATAATCCTTGTACATACATTCCATGATGAGATTGAGAAATAGAAAAAGTTTATTCTTTTACATGGTATCAGAGCCAAAACCCGAGTCCTAACTTTCCCTCTTTTTTCGGCTTTCCCCCTCTCCTCCCGACCAACGCCGATCATCTTCTTCGACAATCTTTTCCTCTCTCTTGTTTCGACATGGCTTCCGAAAACTCCTCTACTACTACTTCTTCTACCTCCACGACATCAAATTCTCCTCATCTCGCCTTTACAACCATTTCAAACATCAAGCTTCATATCCCTATTCAGCTTAGTATTTCGGCTCCAAACTACAAAAAATGGAGTCGTCTCTTTCTTCTTCTTGTGCGACGTTTCAATCTCCAAGGCTTTCTCACCGGCATCACAAAACCCTCCGGTGATAATCACACGGAATGAGTCCAGTTTGATGCCCTTCTTCAAGGATGGATTCTCTCAACGGTCACCGATGAAGTGTCCGATCTCATCATTGCCTCTCATGACACCGCCGCCGGACTATGGAAGGCGATTCATGACCTTTTTCACGACAACAAGAATGCAAGAGCGATGCAACTTGAGCATCAATTCTATACTACGGCCAAAGGCACAAAATCTATGGTTGACTATTGTCAAACACTCAAGAACTTGGCCGATTATTTGGATGACGTTGATGCACCCGTGACTGATAATCAACTCGTCCTCCAACTCCTCCGCAGTCTCCCTGAAGATCTCCAAAGCCGGGCTTCTTTTCTTCAATTTCAGAAGCCTCCACCGACTTTTTAAGAGGCTCGGTCAGCCCTGCTCCTCTTGGACCAGCAGCGAACGCCGCTCGCCGCCGGCGACTCCGGCACAACACTTCTGGCCGCTGGGAGGACGGACCAATCGCAGCTCCATCCACTTCCTGCCGGCAGCGGCAGTTTCGGAGGACCGCAGCAGCCGCGACAGTAGCAGGGCGGTAGAGGCGGCGGTCGATATGGCGGAGGTCGGCAGCTTGGGTGCATGGCGGAGGTCGGCGGGCATTATGGCGGAAGAGGCAGAAGCAGCAGAACCGGCGGGTGTTATGGCGGAAACGGCAGAAACGGATTGACTCAGCGGTTCCCCTCCCCAGCCTTTTCATCTTGGCAGTATCACAATCACCCTGGGCCTGGACTTTTGGGCCCACGGCCTAATAACCCACCCAACAATTCACCCTCTCCATTTTATGCCCAAGCCTATTATGCTCACCCTTACCCACCCCCCTACT